TGTGTGAGTGTGTGTGTGTGTGTGTGTGTGTGTGTGTGTGTGTGTGTGTTCGCAGTGGGAGGGGAAGATGATTTACACTTTCTATTTCCCCTTTTTGCCGTCATGCATGCGCGCGTCGTGTTGAATGCGAGATAAGCTTGACTTCTGTTCTTCCTCCCAATGTTATGAAATAATATCTGAGTGCGGAGCTGCAGGTGAAGCTGACATTGTGAGGCTCAGACGACAGACAGATCATCATTTCATGAGCTGTAAGTACAATGATCTTTCTAGATTCACACCATCCTTCAGCGACTCTTTCTGAACGCTCAGCGTTAACAAGGAGGAATAAACACCAGAGACACTCATGAGGAGATAAACGTCTGATAAAAGTGTTTTTGCTGATGACAAACTCGCACATCTAGAGTCTGTTAAAAGGGAAGCCGAGGCTAGAATCACAGGATCTCAGAGTCAAACCTACAAAAGTGCTTGTTTTTGTTATTTTAATTTAACATATTTTGACACAACAAACACACCATACAAGAGTCTGAAGGCAGATTTGGACTGAAAGACTGTTGTCAGAACAAGAGTATTTTAAAGAAATATCAGGTTAGGGGCAAGTTGTCACATGTTTGATATACCTTAAACACATTTTAATAGAATTAAAGAAAGCTAAAACAATAACAACTTAGTAAATTTAATAAATTAGCAAAATAAATAAACCTACTGAACAATATAAAGTGAAGGGTGACAACTAGCCCCGCTATACTTCACACTGAGATGTTATTTTGCAAGATTCCAGTTTTACACTGAGATCAAACGTGTGTTTCGGTGAAGCAAATCTGCCTGTGATCCGTGAGCAAAAACGATACACAAATGAGATGAAAGGCTTTGCATCGGTGCAGCTGCAGCGCTGCAGAAACACACAGAAGCAGGTGAGCAGAACACGAGCTGCTTACAGTACAAACCTCAGACGAACACGTCACCGCAGTCTGGGGAAGCTTCACAAACCCTCTGCAGAATATACAAAATGTGCATCATTTTAACAGAATAAGAGGAACCAGCTGTTTCACATAACAGTTATATATTTACCCCACAAGGCAAAATAGACAAAAAGTTTAATTACCCTTAAATCGTAATACCGTGTGTCGTTACCTGGATGATCCATGGCTGTTTTTATGTTTTGTGATAGTTGTTCATCAGCCCGCTGTTCTTCAGAAAAATCCCCCAGTCTCTGGTTTTCCAGCATCTTTTGTGTGTTTGACTCCTTTCAACAGTGAGCGTATGATTTTGAGATCCATCTTTACACACTGAGGACAATTGAGGGACTCAAACACAACTATTACAGAAGATGACAACACTCACTGATGCTCCAGAAGGAAATACAATGCATTGAGAGCCGAGGGTTGAAAACTTATGAACTGAATGATGATGTGATGTGTACAACCTATATGCTTCTTATTTTGTTTAGATTTTTTTTCATGTAGTACTGTGTTCAGAAGCTACGTAAAATACTTACATTTCCCAGAAGTCAAAGTGAGTAATTTACCCCGAAGATCCGATTCAAAACATTTACCCGCTCCCTTAAATTAAAAATTCAAGAAGTTCAAAGTCACTTCAATGAGGAAATTTCTTTTTTTTTTAAAGTTGACTTTTTACTTTTCAATGCTTAAATTCGTTTACATGTGGAAACGTTTTGGATAGATGACTTTGACTTTTAACTGAATGCAGTTTTGACGCAGCATTCATACTTTATTACTACCATTACGATTTCCCAACCACGATGTCGTCAGAAGTCCTGAGAAATTATGCTGTTCTTAAATTGTTCTCAAACAGAAGAAGTCACTTATACAAACTTCTGTATGAAAAGCGACCTGTTTAATCATAATTTCATAATGTACTAACTAAAAGAAATTTAGTGGACGTATTAATACTTAAAATAAATAAATGCACGGCTGCAAGTCAAATTCTAATTTATTCATTTACAGTTTTTTGTTTGTTTGTTTGAGAAGACACAATTCTCAATATGTAGGTCACTTCATCAAAACTCATCACACAGCTCTCATAACCAACTTGCATCTTGGCACAGCAGTTATTTCACATTCAACATGCTGTAAAACTACCAAAACACTTCATACATGTTTCAGATCAACTCATTATTTTATAACACTAAAGGTTTTCACTCAACTGTTGTGCTCACCATGTGAAGAGTTTTGAAAAAGTAACATAAGTATTAAGAAATGTGTCTTGGCAATTGGGAAAAAAAACTGTAATTCAACCTTTTGATGAGCTCTGCTGACATAATAATTTGAGAAGCCAGAAGTCATAATAAAGAGCTTTATTGCCAAGTATGTTTGCAGATACAAGAAATGTGTTCTGGTGACACAGAGACAACAACAACCCACATATTATAAAAAAATAAAGATAAGTGAATAAAATGCACATACTGTATGTATATATATATAAACAAAAATTTGCATGTAATATATATAATGTGACACAAATTAGACTATATATAAAATAGACACAAATGACATATAGATGGAATAAGATGGTTGGTATAAAATAAACGTGATAATTTTATTGCACAATGGGGAGAGCATTTAATCACATCAGTCTAATATTGTGTGCAATTAAACTCAAATGTCTGCACTTTTTATTTTTAAGTTGTAGAAACATGAAATTGTCTACATAACTTTGAAAACTGGGAAGTGGATTTTTGCTTCCCAGCATGCATTGTAGGACTTGAGAAAGTACATGCTGAAATTCAGCGTTATTTTAAGCGAAGGGACGGAGCTGTTAGTGTTGCATGCTGTTGTGTTTGACATTTAAAGAGAGTTTCTGTTGTGCTGAAGTTTTCCTGTGGTTAGATTGTGGGTGGATATACACTGCGTCCACTCGCTGTAAATACTGCCTCTGCAGACAGCACACAGAGAGGAAGGGGACACGACTGAATCCACTGAAACACCTCCATCTGACTCATTTCTGAAGGCCTTCGCTCTCTGTCACATCCCACTATCCGTTGTTTCTGATTCTGTAGTTGAGCAAAAGAATAAACATGGCTTCTGAAAGTTGCGCTTGATGGTCAGTTTGTGTGTGTTTTGACCAACTTTTCTCACTTTTGATGTCAGTTCTTGTGAGATATTAGTATTGTAGTTATTAATATTTGCTGTGTTCTCACCAAAGCTGACTGTGTCTGTATCATTAATACTGTTACACAGCCTCTGAAATCAGTTTTGTGTGCAAACGCTGCCTAAACGTTCACTGTAAAAAATGATTGTGATTTTAACAGTAAAAGACTGTAAAATGCTACAGTAAAAACCTGTTAACTGGTTAACAGTGAGTTTCTATACTACTGTATATTCGGTGAATAAATGTAATTACATTTAATGTAATTTTACATTAAAATACTGTTAAAAATACGGTTTTTGGAAGTGAAAAAGAAAAAGTCATTGTATAATTTACAGTGAAAAACCATTAATTGACACTCCCAGAATTCCCTGCATGACACTTCATATTTAATGTTTTTTTTGTTGTTGAAATAACATGTTTCTTCTTCGTTTTATCTTATCAGTTGTGTACATTAGGGGTTAATCGAATGTTAATGTTAAATGAATGTTTATTGCATTATTTCAGTATCGTGTGTCACCGTGATGGGGTTTAGTGTTTGTGTGAATGACACTGTGCACCTTCTATATAAAAGTATT